CTGTCCATTTGTATTTCTTTATAGCTCCCAAATCTACTTGTCCTCTCCTTCTACTCTAATTTCTCTGCCCTGAATTCAAGCCCTTATTCCCTCACACCTAGACTGCTGCTGTGATATGTGTAATGGATAGGGCACTGGAGCTGGTTTTAAAGATCTGAGTTCAAATCTGACCTCAAACACTTACTAAATGTGTGACTGTGGCCAAATAAATTAACCTCAGTATACCTTGGTGTTCTCATCTGTAAAATGGGGGCCATAATAGCAATGACCTCCTAGGGTTATTGTGAAAATAAAATGAAATGATTATATTTGCCAAACAAATATAAATGCTAAGTATAATTAATTTCCTTTCCCTCATCTATCTTCCTTCCAACCTTTTGTTCAGTCATTTTTTCAGTCGTGTTCCACTCTTTGTGACCCCATTTGGGGTTTTCTTGGCAGAGATACTGGAGTGGTTTGTCATTTCCTTCTCCCTCTCTCCAACCTAACGTTGTATGATTATCACTGGTAGGAAATCTCCCCAATCACCCCAGTCAGAAAGAAGTCATCTCTCCTTCCTCAAAACCTCCCCTGAATGTTGTTTTCGCTAAGCGGGCTGTCTGTGCTGTTTTTGTATCTGCCTCATCTCCCCTACTAGACTTTAGCTTCCTGGCTGGTGTCTTCTTATGAATCTTCCACAGTGCCCAGAATTGCCGCTGTTGCTGTTCAGTTGTTTCAGTCATGTCTGATTCTTCAGGACCCCCACTGGGATTTTCTTGGCAAAGATGCTAGAGTGAGTGTCCATTTCCTTCTCCAGCTCATTTTACAGATGAGCAAACTGAGGCAAACAGGGCTAAGTGACTTGCCCAGTCACATAGATAGTAAGTGTCTGAGTTCTGAGTCTGAGTCTGAAGCCTGACCTCAGGCCTGTCACTCTACTGTACCACCTAGCTCCTCAGTATAGGGCTCCCACCCCCAAACAGAAGGGGGTCCATAAATACTTGTTAAATGAACAAATAAAGTTTGATACAAGGGAGAATTTCCTGACATTTAGCGTGACAGACACTGGAATGGGTAACAGAGGCTCAAAAAAAAATAACTTATGAATCAACTAACTGAACTGCCTTATTTTACAGATGGGGAAATGGAGGCCCAAAACCAAGCCAAGGATGACACAAGTCACATTCTAAGTCCAGAGCTCTTTCAACAACATCAAAATTTTAATTTTCAGAAATACTATCCTCAAATGAGGTAGGAGCAGTAAATGCAAACCATTCTTTAAATGCAGTAGGAGTGATCTTCCAATCCAGGCAGTGAGGGTGTTCTAGGGGTATCAACTACTCATGGGAAAAGTAGGAACCAGTGCATAGAATGGACTTGTTCTCCAGCTTAGCAGAACAAATTGTAGTGATTTCTTTCTGCTTTATATACCTCTTTCTCTCTCACCTCCTGAGTCCAACCTATTCCTTACCCAGGGTTTCTTCTGTTTGACTTCTTGACAAAGTAGACTAGCATATCAGGGAAATGCCACAGACATAATAATAATTATTATTTACATTTTTTTTTTAGCACCGAAAGCTTTACAACAATCCTTTGAGGAAATATAAATTCTATTGTGCTCATTTTATAGATGAGGCAGTTTCTAGACATTGAAAGAAATAGGCCCAGATTCTCCCCGATCCTAGCCATCCAAGATCCAAGAATAGAAAACATTCTCAGAAGGCCAAATCCCCTTTAAGGCATCTCACCTCTGACAACAGTCCAGACATTTGCCAAGATTGCCTGCCCTCCACGAAACCAATTCCCAAGAAAGTTTCCAGGCCTCTGTTGTTCAAGTCTACCCATGGTTGTAGCTGGGACAGGGAGATGTCCACCCCACCATCACCCTAGCCCATGTCCTCTCTACCACCACACACCCACTACGATGTTGTCCCAGATAAAGCCCTTCCTACCTATGACTCCACTCTTTGTTCTCCCTGGGGGTGGCAAAGGGGAGAGAGTGCAAGTTATCCCCCAGTCCACCAGTTCTGGCCCACCGTCTTTCCCTGTTGTGTTGTTGCTGAGTTGTTTCAGTTGTATCTGACTCTTCGTGACCCCATTTGGGGTTTTCTTGGCAAAGATGCTACAGTAATTTACCATATCCTTCTCCGGATCATTTTACAGACAAGGAAACTGAGACAAACAAGGTTAAGTGACTTGCCGAGGGTCACACAACTAGTGTCTGAGGCTGGATTTGAACCCATGAAGATGAGTCTTCCTGATTCCAAGCCCAGTGTACCACCTAACTTCACCCCCATCTCTCCCTATCCCAGCCTATTTCTTCCCACTCTCTGGCCTTCCTCAGTCATTCTCTGTGATCCTTAGCCATCCCGAGGGTTACCCTCTGTGTCTCAGTTTCTTCATTTGTAAAATGATAGGGTCGGCTTAGAGGAACTCTGGGATCCTTTTTGATTGGCCTCGCAATCTGCAGGCTGACCAGCAGAGGGAGATAGAACTTCATTAGTGGAAGGTGAGGCAATGAGAAAGAAGGAATAATTTAGTCTCTAACCCGTGCCCTACCTGAACTGGGATGGAGAGATGGGGGAGAGGGGGAGATAGGAGAGAGTGCAGAGGGATTTGATGGGCTCTCTACAGCCAGAATTGGGGGAGCATACCCAAGACAAGGTTATTCCAAGGTTACTCCCCTGATTTGCTGCTTTGGAAGGAAGAGGGGAGACGGAATAGGGTAGTAAGAGGATTCACAGGAGGGTAGAGCTCCCGACCTGAGTGTGGAGTTAAGGGGAGAAGTCCCCTCTCCTGGCCTTGGCTGCCGCCATCTTCAGGCCCTGCACTTGGACTGGTCTCCAGATGTTACCTCCCTCCCTATCTCCCAGCTCCCGCTGCCAGCATCCCACCCTCAAGACAACCGAAGTGGTTTTATTCCAGGTAAGGCAGATTTCTGGCAGGGCATAAACTCCATACAGATTGGTAGTTCACACTTTTGAGTCTAGTTCAGTAGAGTCTAGTTCTGGCCTGTGTTTACTGTTGAGACCCCTGGACCTCTGCCTGACCTAGCTAGACCTCATCCAGGTGCTTCTTTCCTAGCTCTCGGGGAAGTCTGGGCTCTCATTCTTTTTCCAATCAGCTCCTACTGTTGGTTCAGGCTGTGAATGTGCCCTAATTACTCTCTCCTCACTGGCACCTCTAAGGAGCCTCCATTCCCTTCAAGCTGTTACCTCCTTCAGAAGCCTGTCCCCATCACCCGAATCATCTTGGTCCTTGAATTGCTTGTATTTATGGCTAACATGGAACCATGTTTTGCATGACTTCACATATATAATGGGTATCACATTGCTTGCCTTCTCAATGGGAAGGGCTGGAGGAAGGGAGAGGATTTAAAACTCAAAATAAAAAATAAAAGTAAAAAGATTTAAGTTATTTGTATTTATTTGTATGTTTATGTGTTGTTAGACTCACTAGAATTCCACCAAAGGCAGAGATCAGGGTTTTTTTAAATTTTGTCTTTGCATCCTTAGTACTTAGCATAGAGGTCCTGACTCCACGACTTTGTATAGGCTCTGCCCCATGCCTATAATGCATTCTCTCCACAACTTCAGCTCTTAGAATCCCAAACTCCCTTGAAGGCTAAGTTCAGTGCCACTTTATATATCATGTCTTTTCTTTCCTGCCTCTTCAAGTTGTTGGTGCTTTCTTCACCATCACCACCCCCCAAATTGCTTTAGGGTGTATGTGTGTGGGTGGGTGTGGGTGTATGATTTACTTATCATCATACGTGTTTCTCCCTAGGGGAATGTAAGCTGCTTGAGTACCGGGACGATTTCATTTTTTTCTTTATATCCTCTGAACCTAGCATAGTGCATTCTGGGAGCTTAAAATGCAAAGATGCTTACTGATTAATTGATCAGCCATTCCTGAAGGAAGAAAAAATATGCCTCCAATTCCTTCACCATTCTCTGCTTTTTCCCTGAATGCCTGGGCTCCCCTTTGATGCCACTGGGCCCCAGAACCATTATGTCTCTTCCTGGAAGATCTCCGTACTCATTCATGGAGCCATAATCAAGTGCTTTCCAAAGCATCTTCAGCTTCCTCCCAGACCCACCCTACCCCTACTCCGTCATTCTCTTCTCTTGAAACCCAAGCTGTCCTTCAAGGTCTAACTCCCATGCCTCATCCTCCCACAGCCCCTCAGCTGGAAGAAGGGCCAGACAGCTAGGTGGTACAGCAGATAGAGGGCCAGGCCTGGAGTCAGGAAGACCCAAGTTCAAATTTGACCTCAGACACTTATTAGCTGTGTGACCCTAGGCAAGTCACTTCACCTCTGTTTACCTCAGTCTCCTCATCTATAAAATGGGGATAATAATAGCATCTACTTCATAGGGTTGTTGGGAGGATCAGATAATAATTGTAAAGCACTTAGCACAGTGCCTGGCATATAGTAAACACTTTATAAATGTTAGCCATCGTGACCATCATCTATGCTGTTTCCCCTTTAAGCAGCTAGGACTCTTATCATTCCTAAAACACTTACCATTTTCTGGGGCAGCCACATGGCACACAGACAATATCTTATATTTCAGCGCTGTCTCCTTTATCTTACCTTCTCTACTAAACTGTACGCTCAATGAGGGCAAGAGTGGCGTCTTGCTCTTTTTTGTACTTTCCTAAGGGTTTGCTGAATGAGCGATGAATGGATGGATGAATGAATGAATGGATACACACACTTTCACAAAGGAATACACAGAGGAACCTAGCCCATAGGGAGGTCAGAGGAACCTAGAGACGGAAAGGGACGTGTTTAGTTCAACTCCATCACTTCAGGACTTGTCCAGTATCACCCAGGTAGCAAATGGCAGAGGCAGAATTCAAACCCAGGTCCTCCAGCTCCATATCTGGGGCTTTGTGAGTTCTTAGAAAGCCCAGCCCAGATCCAGCCACAAGGACAGCCCTGGAGTCCCGTCGGCCAGTCCCCAGACCCTCGGTGCAAACCGCCAGCCAGCCCTCCTCGCTGCCAGTCCCTTTACCTGACCCCTGAGGGGCAGCGCTGGACAGGATCCACCTCACCAAACAGCACTTCATCAGGGCCTTGCGGGTCAGGCGAGGCTTCTGCCACTTGGTGGTCTCCTTCTTGCCCAGGGGCGTCTGGCTGGGGTCGCCCAGGAGGCTGCCATCTGTCTCCTTCATCTCTTCCTGAAGCAGAGATAGGCATCCCATTAAGAAAGACTCATCCCAGTTTTGAGCAAGTAGTGATCGAGTAATGACCCTCCCCATCTGAGCCATTAAGGGGCTTCCCAGGGCTAAGCTCCCTCTGAAACCTACCTGACTGCCCTCACTTGCAAGTCATGGCATCACCTTCCTGAGGTCACGATCTTCTCGAGAATGAAGAGCAAACAATAACAACTTGACCGTCCACCCGGCCAGAGCCAATCTCTAGGAATCACAGAAGTTCAAGTCTCAAACCCATCGAGCCCAGCTCATACAGGAACAAGAATTCCTCTGCAGTCAACCAAGCAGGCAAAAAGAATTTATTAAGTACCTACACTGTGCCGGGCACTACCTAAACGCTCTACAACACCTCCAGAAAAAAGCAGTAAATCAGCCAGCCTCTGCTCAAAGACCTTCAATGAGGAGGAGCTTACTGCCTCCTGAGCAGGCCCCCTTCCGCTTCAGAAAAGCTCAGATGGTAGCGAGGTTTCTTTTTTCTTTTTTTTTTTCATTGAAATAATATTTATTGTTCATGGGTAGGTAAAGCCAATATAACTTTTATTTTTTTATTTTTAAATTTATTTATTTTTAGTTTTCAACATTTACTTCCACAAGATTTTGAGTTCCAAATTTTCACCCCATCTCGCCCCTTCCCCCACCCCGAGGTTTTCTTTCCATCCACCTACTCTAAACCTGCCCTTCTTTAGTTTCCACTCCAGTGCTTAACCAGAACAAGTCTTGACCCTCTTCCTTATATATTCAAATACTTAAAGATAACTGTCATGTCCTCCCTAAGTCTTGGCTTCCCCCAGGCTAACCTTATCATTTTACAAATGAGAAAACAACCCTGGAGAAGGAAAAGGGGATTCCCAAAGTCACACAGCATGCCGGTGAGACTAGAAATAGAAATCTCATCTTATTTTGGATTTCACAGCTATAGGTTATTAGGTATTAGAATTACCCTAGCAGTCCAGCTTACCACCCCATACAGACAATCAATCGATCAATAAACATTTATTAAGTGGCTACTATTGGCCAAGCACTATGCTAAGAACTGGGGATTCAAAAAAGAGGCAAAATACAGTCCTTGCCCTCAAGAGCTTACAGTCTAATGGAAGAGACAACATATAAGCAAATTATACATACAAAGCAAGTTATATGTGGATAAATTGGACATGATTAACAGAGAGAAGGCTTTGGAATCAAGGAAATTTCTTTCCCTTGCAGGTGGTCATTCAGTCATTGATAACTCCAGGGTTAGGAAGCGTAAAATGTTGTCAAGTAGCCGCTATTCCATTTCTGGAGAGGTCTGACCATTGGGAAGGTTTCCATTCTATTGAGTCAAAGTCTTTTTCTCTGTAACGTCCACCTCCCGGTATTAGTTCTGCCCCACTGAAGCCAAGCAGAATAAGACCAAGATGGCATCAGCATTTTGGACGGTCACATGGTCCTCTTGACTCCTGGTGATCTTATATTCCATCAACCGCCACTATACCTCCACCCTACCCTCACCCTACTCCATTCCCAGGGTTTTTTTCACATAAACTATTTTTCCATCTTTATCTCCTCCCATTCTAGTGAGAAAGTGGTGACTCAGACATTAGAGGAGACCTCAAAGCCCACTTCTAATACATACTAGCATGTGACCTGTGCACACCATTTAACTTCTTTCAATTTGTTTCCTCATCTGTAAAATGGGTACGATAATACGTGTAGCACCTACCCCATAAGGGCATCATGAATATCAAATGAGGAAATGCAGTTTACCTATATTTGCCTTCATAAACCTTGAAATGATATATGAATGTTAATTATTTGTTACTATTATTATTATTAATACTGAACCTAATCCAGTGAGGCTCTCCCTCCTGTCACGATATTTAACCAATTACAAAAAAATAGAACAGAATCATTAAATTTCATAGAATTTTACACCTAGAAGGAACCATCTAGTTTAAGCTCCTCATGTTATAGATGAAGAAAATAAGACCCAGAAATTTTATACGTGGAGGGGACCATCTAGTCTATGCTCCTCATTTTGTAGAGAATGAAAATAAGATGCAGAAAGGTAAATGACTCTCCCAAGGTCACAGAGCCAGGCAGTAGCAAAGGCAGAACTAAAAACCAAGTTCTCTTCCTGACACCTCTGCTCTCTGTGGACTACCCAAACTGTCAGGGAGACTTCTTGAGATTCTGATGCCCCCTTTAGCCCTCAGCATGCAGCTCAGTTTCTGTGTCACTTCCATTTCTCTGCCTTGATGGGATCTCAGAGACCATCTAGACCGACCCATAATTGCACAAGAATCCCTCCTGCCACATCCCCTGCAAGTGCTCACCCAGATTTTGCTTAAAGACTTCCAAAGAGAGAGAGCTCACTGCCTCCTGAGGCAACCCAGGCCACTCTTGAATACTCAAATTGTAAGGAAATTCTAGAACTTTACAGTTAGAAGGACTTCTTGACATTTATTTTTTTTTGGGGTGAGGCAATTGGGGCTAAGTGACTTGCCCAGGGTCACACAGCTAGTAAGTGTCAAGTGTCTGAGGTCAGATTTGAACCCAGGTCCTCCTGACTGCAAGGCTGGAGCTCTATCCACTGCACCACCTAGCTGCCCCAGACCTCTTGACATTTAACCCAGCTGCTCAGGCTGTGGCTCTTTTGCCTATACTATTGTTCACAGCATCACCAACTCTAAGAATGAACCCCTTCTCAAAGACGCATCTTCAATGCCAGGTCTCCTGTGAAACCTTCCCTGATCCTCACCCCACTGTCCAATCAGGAACGTCTCTCCATCCCCAGGAACGTTCGTGGTCCTTTGTATTTCTTCCGGGCACTCGTCAGAGCCTATTTTGTGCAGCTGCTATTTATGTACAAGTCCCATCTCTCTGAGCTCATGCTGGAGGAACGTATTGATGTTTGCATTTCCCCAAGGCCCCGCAATACATTCAGTGCACACAGTGACATTTACACAGGAGTTAAATAAAGGTTTGAAAAGGCTCTTACGTAAGTTTTCCCTTACATCCAGCCTAGCTGTGTGTCTGCGTACCTTCTACCCACTGCTCCTGGCTCTATCCTCTGTAGCCAATGCAGAACACACCTAATACTTCTTCCACATGATGAAAAATGCTCGGTGATAATTATACCCTTTCCTATCTGCACTCTCCCCCACGCCTTCTCTTTTTCAGGCTAAACATTCCTAGTGTCTCCAGCTGATCTTCACCTTTCACCATCCTAGCTGTTTTCCTCTGTATGCTCCCCAATAATCAATGCCCTTCCTTCTATCTTGCACCAAGAACTGAACACAAAAGTCAAGCTCATCGGACCAGGGCAGAATACACCAGGTCTATGCTCTCCCTGATCTTGGTCACCATCCGTCCCCTAAGGCAGCCTAAGAATTCGCTTTCTTGCCTGTTGAATCCCACTATTGACTGATAGGGAGCTTGAGGGCCACTAAGATTCCTGCTGCCTTAGGCATGCCTTCTGCTTGTTCTGCACCCCTTCATTTTTTGTTGGTTTGCATCCTTTCCCCCTCCTCCCAATGTCTTCTGTAATTCTGATCACTGTAGCAGAAACAAGGCCTGGAGGATGGAGGAGGACCAGAGAGAGCAATGAAAATGATCCAGAGTGCTGATGTCAAAACTCCGACAGAAGCCAAGGTATATAAGGATCTTTGCAGGCTGCAAAGGCTTAGAAAACCACCGATTGACATTAGCTATGTTCTGTCTAATGAATTTTCATTTAGTTTGTTAAATGATTCCCAATGACACTTTAATCTGGTTAGGTAGTACTCTAGGGAAGCTAGGTGGTGTAGTAGATAGAGCACTGGACCTGGGGTCAGGAACATGTGAGTTCAAATCCAGGCTCAGACACTTGCTAGCTGTGTGACCCTGGGCAAGTCACTTAGCCCTGTTTGCCTCAGTTCCTCATCTGTAAAATGAACTGGAGAAAGAAATGTCAAACCACTCCAGCATCTTTGCCAAAAAAAACCCCAAATGAGGTCATGAAGAGTCAAACGTAACTGAAAACGACTGAACCACAACAAAAGGCAGTACTGTAAGCGTTGCTGCTGAAATGCTGCTTGTAAGCACATATTGAGTATTGGAGAAGGGAATGACACAAAGTGGGTAGCTCAGTTACTGGACGAGTGCAGACTGGAAAGATTTGGCCTTTTGAGTCTACGAGGTCTGAGGCAGAGGGCTTTAGGAATCACTAACTGAATTTTAATATAATAATAGCTTATTTATATAGTGCTATAAAGTTACAGACATTGTCTCGTTTATTCCTACAACAACCTTGTGAGGTTGGTAGACCTAGCATTGTTATCCCCATTTCACAGATGAGGATACTGAGGCTAAGAACGATGAAGTGAGTTGCCTGAGATCACAGAGTGATATCAGGGCTTCTGAGGCACTTTATCTATCTGTGCCTGATTCCTCATCTAAAACTTGAAGGGGCTGGCTTAGACGGTCTCTAAGGCCCCTTCTATCCAAGTGCTACAGTGGCCAGAGCATTGGCCTTGGAGTCAGGAAGACTCCAGTTCAATCTTGCTTCAGGCAATTAATTATTAGCTGCATGATTATAGACAAATCACTTCACCTCTCTCAGACTCAGTTTCCTTATCAGTAAAATGAGGATAATAATAGCCCCTACCTCATAGAGTTGTTGTGAGGGTCAAATGATACAATTTTTAAAGAGCTTTGCAAATTTTAAAGTGATATAGAAAAGGCATTATTGTTATTATTATTATTACTGCAGCTCTAAATCCTATGACCCTGTTAGGATCAAGTCTGAAATCTTTAGCCTGGAATTCAATCTATCCATTCAACCGTATCACTCCCTGCCTGAAAACACGGACCCTGAGCATTTTTAGTCTTTCCTATCTCCTGTAGTACTTTCCAACCTGCTCCCTACCCTGACCAAACTGACCATTGGAAATCTCTCCCTGACCTAGATCCCTATAATATCATAAATTTGACTACTAACCTTA